TCTCTCTCTCTCTCTCTCTCTCTCTCTGTTTCATTTGTAGCACTGTGTTCAGTAACCTCACTGCAGTTGGTACGAATGAATTTCTATATCTGAGAGAAGTAACAAATAAAAATAATGTAAATATAGGTGTTTTTACGCCCCCATCGACATAATTTACATCATTCAGGAGGAGGGCTCCGACAAGGACTGTTAGGGCCAACCCGGGCTGAGAGGGGAAAAACACCCCAGCAGAAAAGCTAGATAGGCCTACTCAATAAAAATTCTTCCCACTCACGTATCGAACTCGGGTCTCCTGCATGCGACTTTAACGCATGTTATATAACCGCTACACCAAAGACACCGGTGAAGGGAAATGATACCATATATTGATAAGATCATGTAGACTCTATCACTAAAGGCGCGTCACCAAAATACAACAATTTTATTCGAAATTGTCTAAGGAGACAGCCATGCACCTGTTGTCGAGAAGAAAAGTAGCTCGTCTTAGACAGGTCGTGAGCGTCTTACAGAGTGTCATTATAACTTCCGACTAAGGACACAACACACAAGACTGATATGTAGCCTACAGATGCTTTAAACTAGTACAATCACCAAAATGCCAGTGCGGAGGGGCGGATCAAACTGTTGAACACATCCTTCAGCACTGCAAGACAGCACCTAGTGAGGGCTCTGAGACAGGAAATGTGGCAAACCCCACTGACACTACAAAAGAAGCTATACGGGCCGACAGATGAACTAAGCAGGACGCCCAATTTATGATAGATACCAGACTTCAAGTGTGATGGGATCGAGAAGAAGAAGGTGTGTGTGTGTGTGAGAGAGAGAGAGAGAGAGAGAGAGAGAGAGAGAGAGAGAGAGAGAGAGAGACGTACCCCTCCCCTTCCCCAATCACTGCGTCAGATTTAGGCTCCTTCAGATTTATGTATTCATCATTGAGTAAAACTAAGGTGTCGGTCTCTTTACACTCGCGTCTGTAATCTAGGAACTTTACCCTCCCATGCGCAGAGATATGTTGTCGAGCTTCTTTTTGTTGGGACGTTTGTCTTACCCAGTCCAGGTTGGCCCTGACAGGCAGAGTCGAAGCCTGCCTCCTAAATGATCTAAATTGTATTTATACTGTCCCCGGGGTTTTATGCACCCCGCATAATTTAGCAAAATTTGATCTTTTGCATAATTTTAGATTATTGTCCTTTACCACTCTTTGTTAAACTTAAAAGAATCGCATAATTTCTAGCGCTGGAGTCTGCTCGATTAAATTAATCGAAGGCTTGCAAGCAGCGGACGGCTTGCGCCAGAGGCTTGTCGTGAGCAGGCTTGTGCTATGCTTTGCCTCCCGTTCGCTACCGGGGAGAACTCCCGGTGGGTTGTGACTCGCGGACATCCTTGCCAGGTTGCGAGCAGGCAAATCAAATCACAGGACTAAAGAGTCTTGCTGTGCTGCGAGCGAGATTTGAGACTTGACGGCCGTCCGCTGCTCGCAAGCCTTCGATTGATCGAGCAGACTCCAGCTCTAGTGTCCCGCCGCGCAGTGACACCAGAGAGCTCTCTGGTGACACTGTGAGCAAGGTCTCCCCCCCCCTCTCTCTCTCTTTTTCTGACGAAAGTGGCTTCGCGGATTGCAAGCAGGGTGGGCTCGGGAGGTCTGACACGAGTGGCTTCACGGATTGCTAACTGGTGTGGACTTGACTAGATTCTAGACTCAAGTTATGCTGGAGATTCGATTTGATAATTTGACCTAGTGATTTGAGGCTTGTGACTTGAACTAGGGGCTGGCGAGCACGGGCGGGTTTGCTACCGGGGTACAGCTCTAAAATTTCACATTTTTTGGCTCAGTTTACATAATTTCACAATTTTTGTTTGCATAAAACCGCGGGGACAGTTTATAGCGGGCGTAATTTGTAAAAAACCCACCTACTTGTCTAAAACTCTTGCTTCCACCTAAAAGAACCCAGCTCAGTCTGGACAGTTGTATACTGTACTTGACACCAGAGACCTCTTCACAATAACCTTCTCTCCATCACGGATCACTGCTGTGGAGGACAATTTTCAACTGTCACTGAGACATTTTCACACTTCTATCGACCATCCATGCCTGTCCCACACGCAGGAGTAAAAACATCCAAAGACGGATCAGGGATCAGTCAAAGTTGCTCGCATGGGTGGGACGTCATTTCTTATGTCTAAAGTCCCTCATATCGAGTCATATTATAAGAATCTGGTGAAACAAGGACCAGGTATTTTGCTGATTTCATTAAATGT